CTTTCTTTTATAACTTGCCTTAATTGTGATGCATTGTCACAGCAGTAAGAGAGTAATTATGAAGTCTCATGGCAACTTCTGTTAAACATTGCTTCTCCTGAAGTATATGGTTTTTTCCTGTTCAAATATAACAGTGTTCCAGCTCAACTTTTGGTGATGATGATGATGATGATGATGATGATCATGATGATGATGATGATGATGATGATGATGATGATGATGATAATGAATGGTAGAGGATATGCTCTTAAAATAGAAACTAGTTTGTCTATGTTTTCAACTGTGCCTTGACTCTTTGAGATTAATGGGTTTAATCATAGCCATGAAAACCATAAAGTAAAATTAGGCCTAGCTCCTGAGCTGGCTGTTTTCTATAATAAAACCTGTACAATTTAGGTGAAATAAAATATAGTACTACTACTACTTTTATGAGATTTCTATTTTTATTTACAGGCTTCTACTTTTATTTTTTCTGTTTTCCCTAGTATTTGCTTTATATAGTTAAAGGAATAGTCTTAAGACAAATTCTGTTCGTCTTGTATATAATTAATTTAGCTATAGAAGCTTCAACATTATGTATCACTTAGTTATTGTTTTATTTCTGTGAAGAGACACCATGACCAAGGAACTTTATAAAAGAAAGCATTCAAATTGGGACAGTTTCAGAGAGATATTTTTTCCCAATAAACAACGTGATCAGACCTGGCACAAAAGTAGCTCAGTCACTGGTTCCAACTTCTCTCTTAGTTGCTGTTCTATTTCTGTGAAGAGACACCATAACCAAGGCAACTTAGAAAAGAAAGCATTTAATTGAGGGCTCACTTACAGTTTCAGTTAGCTAGCCTGTGGTCATCTTGGTGAATGCATAGCAGCATGCAAACAGGCATGGTGCTAGAGCAGCAGGTAGCAATAGCAGAAGTAGGAAACAGACACTGGGCATGGTATGGACTTTTCAAACCTCAAAGCCCACTCTCAGTGTCACCCCTTCTTCAACAAGCCACATCTCCTAATTCTTGCCAAGCAGTTTCACTAAGTGGGGACCAATCATTCAACATGAGTGTATGGGGAACATTCTTGATCAAGTCACCAGACTTTCTATTTCTGTTTCCTATTACATATTCAAGAACAGGCATGTACATTTTGGCTACTCTAAGCCTTATGAAACAAAGAATTGTCTTAGACCTAAACTCCCTTAGGCCACCACACACACACACACACACACACACACACACACACACACACACACACACACA